TAGTTTTACCATAAGAGTGGCCAAACATTGGTAAGGGTTGTCCAGAGAGGTTATTGAGTCTCTGGAAATATTCAAAACCAAGCTGGACAAAGTGCTGAACAACCTGCTCCAGGTGACCTTGCTCTGAGCAGAGCAGTTGATGAGGTCCATTCCAAGCACAGCTACTCCATGGCCCTAATGTGCAGCCAACAACCTCCCTGCATTGCCAGGCACAGGTGCTCTCAGCCAGAGCCTTTGCACCTTCCTGGGAGAGGCAGAGGTAAGTGGAGGTGCTCATCCCTTTCCCTCCAGGGAAACAGCAGAGTCAACAGCAGAATAGTAAGGACAAACACCAGATTTAAGGGATAAACCTGATTTGTGCTTCCAGGGCTGCCTTATGGGAAACAGAGATCAAGAAGAACCTGACTCAGACTGAACCAGCACTTCCATCCTGGCTGAACCAAGAACATCTCCCCTGCTTGTATCAAGCTTAGACATGGAAAGGTCAGATGGCAGAGATAAAGAGAGCATCATTTTATGAAAATATCAAAGGTAAAGCTCTGTCCCAAATGAAGGCAGCAGGAGCTCTGCTAATGTCTCAGACATACAAAATTGAAAAGTCCTTCTCAGTTGGATAGTCCTGTCCTATGAGGTTGCAGGCATCCACCCCATAACACCTTCTTCTTTAACTGCTACCTCAAGGCTGTTTGGGTTTTCTTCCCTCCTCTAAGCTAATTGAGAGGCTCTCTGCAGTGGTAGTCAGGTTCCTCTTTCACTCTGACCAAGTTAACACATGGTCAGAGTCCAGCCACTTGTTGTGATGCCAGCATTGGTTTACAGCTTATGTGGGTTTTCTCTCCCTCCTGGTTGCTTTTCCAGATGCCACAGAGCAGAGCTAGCATCCCTCAGCCCATCCCACCCTGCTCCAGGCTGAATACACTCAGGCTGTGCATGGTGCCAGAGGAGAGCTCAGGGGTGTCCTGCACTGCCACACTCACATTTCCCAAGAAATAACCCTCACAAATCCTCAGGGGGCTGCATTTGTTGAAACCCTGCAGTGCCTGCAAAATTCTTTCCAAGTGGTTTTTCATTAATCACTGTATTAATTACATCCATCCCAGCTAACCTGTGCTTTCCTCTGTGCTGTGCAAGGGCAGCTCATCTGCACACAGAGTCACCATTGTCAGTGGACAGAGCGTGGGGCTGCAGCCAGGAATTTATGAGGTCTTATCCCCAGCCTGCCAGTGGCCTTCCGTGTGGCCTTGGAAAATAACACTTAACATCTTTGTTTTTTTAGCTGTAAAATGGGAATAATGATCTTTATTCATTCACCTCAAAGAGGCGATGAGAGGATTTTATGCAGTGCTCAGTATTTAAATGTTTCCAAACAAATTTTAGAATAACCAGTCAGGGTTTTTAAATGCATGCTCAGCTCATCCCTTGCAACCTCCTCTGCACTTGGTGTTCGTGGTTGCTTTGCTTATTTCCCTGAGTATTCTAGAGCTAGCTGTATTACAGAGCTGTTACAACCAAAATAGGTCTAAGTGGAATAATTCGCACAAACATTGAATTATATTAATCTCAAATACATCCGCAGTTGCCAAAATTTGGAACCAATCTTCCTACTACTGAAGTTAAAAAGGCAGAAGCAAGCCAGCTCTTTTCCCATTTGAAGAAAAATGCACTGCATGTACCCTGTTTACTTATTTGCAGTATCCCATCCCATCAAAAGAGCCAGTGACTTTGGAAGTCAATGTCAAGAAAATGCAGAGAAATGCATTGTGGCTTCTGAAGCCAACACAGATATGGAGCAGCCTTTGCAGGACACATTTTTCTACCCTAATGATGGAATTGATAAATGAGTGGGCAGCAGCAAGGCACAGCTGAAGCCCTCACATCAGTCTGTGGTACATCATTTGCAGGTAGTACTAAGAGAAAAGTGGGGAGTCAGGGAAGGGCTGGTAGCTCCTGCAAAGTCCTGCAGAGCTACCCCAGCCCAGCCACACTCTGCCTGCTCCCCAGACACACCACCCAGCCAGAGCCCAAGCCTGGTGCTCTTGGCAGGGCTCAACCTGCCACCCCCTCAGAGTCCTGAGGTGATAACTCACACAAAGTGCTAATTCAGTAAAACCATGTCTGATCTTTTCAATTCACCCCTGAAGTAATTTCAGCATGTCATATTCCTTCATCACTAAGGAATATGTTCCATTTTTTCATCTTACCACATATTAATGCTATTCCTGAAATTACTGAAACTCCTGCATGTATAGTTGCCTGTGTTTGAGAATATTAAAATATAAGTACATTTGAAAGAGTGGAGTACCTTCAAGCAAGAACCAGTGAAAGGTTGGTTGCTATGCAACTCAAGTATTGTCCATATTATTCTTATCAACAGATGACATATTGTATAAAATAATATAATCATCTGAAAAACCCACAATCCAGTAGAAGGCTGCTCAGGGGTGGAGAATTGGCAATAGCTGAGAGTGCTGTCATAAACCTGACGTTGATGGTACATACTTCATCAATTACAGAACCATAATGTAATTATTATGATTATTTAAATGGCACCCTTGATAATATATATAAATTGCCTGCAGTGAAGCAAATGATTCTGAAGATATTAGCTCCATGCTTTCAAAAGAAATGCTTACTCAAACAAGACTGGGATAACATTTTCATGTTGTGAAACCAACCACGCTGCTTCATTCATGCACTGCCTTAACTTGTACAAGTACCCCACTAAATACTATGTGTTTTGAATATATATTTTCCTAAAAATTGTTAGTACTCATGTGTGGGACAGTAAAATATTCAAGGCTTTGTTCTAATTCCTCAGAACAGGTTCAGAAAATAACAACTATATACTTCTTCTCTCTGTTTTTCCACTTGGGATAATAATTCCATTTGGGATAAGAATTTATTAACCCAAACCTATAAAGAAAAATCTCCTCACCTTCTACTCCCTGGTACTAGACCTCTGATCAGGAACTTAAAAAACATGAACAGAAAAGTATGTATTCTTATACAGCCATGGCATGCAGGTTCTCACATCATAAAGTAGAGGAGCTCTGGAATTACATCTTTTATATATATTTTTTTACTATTTTTAGAAAGCTATAGATTGTCTTTCATGTAAACAAGAGTCAGATATGAAAAGGCAAGAAAAATTATCTTTGGGACAAGCTTGTGATAGCAGAATTATTCCACTGAAACCAGCAGGACAACTCAGAAGCTAAAGCATTGTCCACTGCAGATTGTGGATGGAGAATCCAGAAGCAGAATATCCACAAGCAGATTACACAGACCTGCAAATGCTACTTCTGTGATGTGGCCAAAGACCTGCCAAAAAATGCTGGCTTCTGTCCTCCACCCCAACTCTCCTCTCAAAAAAATATGAAACTGGTAACTTTCGAATTATAAATGGACAAAGCTTTGCTTTTCACAAGAAAACAAAGATCCTTAAGATGGAATGATGACTGCTGTAGCTACTGTCTGCCATCTGGAAAATGGCAGAAATAACCAGAGCTCACATTGAGGTAGATCTATAGGGCTAAAGATGAATAATAATAAACACATAACAATTATGAAATGCCCATGAACTAAGGACTGCAAAGAAGTCACTAGCCCAGGTACTAATTCTGCTGGCTTCCACCACTATTGCAACATCAGATTTGTATGAGATTCACAAGTCAATTTGCAATCAATTTTTTGCCATTACAGCAATCACAAGGATATATCAACCATTTTGTAATTCAATATTAACTACACACTCCATGAACTTTCAATCACAAAATGGCAAATATTACCTTTTTTTCACATTTACTTTAGGACATGTATCTGATTAAGCTTATCCAAAGTGCATAACTACATCATCATCATCATCACTGCAGGAAAAGCAGAGATAGATTGGTGTGTTTAGTTCTCACATGGGGAAGCTCCAACAGAAAAATTTAACCTGTACCCAGGTAATCAGTCTCCTGCAGAGGCCAGACTAAACCTGAGAGCTCCCTCATTTGCACCAGGGAGGAAAATTCTCAGTAGGTATTGAGCAGGGTAAGCTGGTGGATGCCAGTGGAGCTTCACCATCTGCACGGGCTCTTTGCTGACAGCTTTCCAGCAAATTCCATGAACAGACATGGAGTCATCCAGAATCCAGGTTTACTACATGAACATGGAAATCCCAGTCACAACTCCAGTCACAGGAAGGTGTATTGGATGTTAACACTCTGCCCTGAGCAGCTGGGCCTGATGCTGCATTGGAAGCGCTAAAATGACATGTCCTTAACAAAAGCAGTTATCAACATACTTGAAATGTCCTGTTCTTGTTCCCATGGAATCTGATGTTGACTTGGCAGTAACAGGACACAGGTACTGAGCAGATCAATACTTTTGAAACCCATTTAATATTTTGTTCCTTTTTACCCAGGTTTTGTCTGTGGAGCAACCCCTTCCACAGAAGCTGAGAGAAAGAACACTTGATATTTTTAATTACAGATTTGATCTGTAGAGCTCTTACCTTCTGGCCCCTATTCCACAGAACACCCATTTAACTTTAAGCACATGTGTAGCTCCCCTGACAATAAGCACAAGTATAAATGACTTCTTAGAAAGCAGCTGTAGCCCTCAGTATCTTGCAGAACTGTGCAAGATACTTGTGTTTACTGTTACTTACTTACAGTTGAACCAGAACCCAATTGTGTTTCCTTTAGGAACTAAAATGTTCTCTATGTTTCATGGACTATTCCAAACAAATCTGAAAAGACAGGCTGCCAGAACTAAGCAGTAACTTCAAATGACACAGGAAAAACCCAGAAGAAATTGAAATTATTTGAAATATAAAGTTTAAATGATAAATAGATATATATAAACATGAAAGTTCTTTATATTCACAGACTAGTAAGGATAATATATATGGATTAAAATACAAAAGAAATACATGTCCCCAGTAACTGCACTGTTCATAAAAGAATGAAGTCTATAGATATTGATATCCTCCATTTAAATTAACCTTTCCTTACCTTGCCGTAGCTCAGCAGGATTATCCTCACCAAGACAACGTTAATGTGAGCACCCAGGGACTCATCATGATAAATTTCATTAACCTGCAAAAGAGTTCAGTGCTTTAACAATGGTAACTATGAAGGCAGTGATACAGCCAGTACCTTTTATGCTATATCATTAGGCCAGACACCACTTTGTGATCATATTTAAAACATTAAAAACTCCACTAATGAGAGAGGGAATGGGGTTTTTCCAACTCTGCTGTAATCTCCCAACAGGTCATAATTTAAGGAATCAATTAAAATAAATATATACTCAAGAGACTTCAGCTTACCAGGTGTATAAGTGCCAGCCTAATTGCACTTGGAGGTGTCATGGTGCACCCACACCATGCAGCTGAGCTGGCCCATGTGTCCATGTGTACCCACTGGAGCCTGGAGCATGGCAATCCAGGCAAAATCCCAAATATCTCTCTGCTGAGCAGGACCATGCATAGGGAAGGGGATGAGTGAGCAGAGGGACAGGACCTCTCTCCCAAGAGCCATTCACTGGATCAGCTCAGCTGCACCCTGTAACTCTTCCATCTGGGACCCATCATATCACACTCTGCCAAGAGGATGTGCCTCCCCCAAAAAGCTGGTCAGGCACATGAGCTGGCTTTATTGTATGTCAAAACTCATCAGTGTTAAACTTTGCAAGTAGAACAAAAGCTACAAAATGCCAGCAAGTTAAAATTGTCTTCTTTTTTTTTTATACCAGAGCTACATAACTGAACACGCACATGGGGAAATCACCCCAGGAACACTGGAAAGAAAACTGTAAATATTTAGAGTAGAGAGTGAAATGTGGATGAATAACAATTACTTAAGAAACACTGCTACAGGCAAGCTGGGCAAATATTAACTGTTAACAAGGCTGATTTAAGTATTCAGTGATGAAGACTGCATGAGACTTGGCCAAATGGCAGGGGTTTAGCTTTACAAATTAGAAGAGGCAGATGAGATCCCTGCAAGGCAAGTTCCTTCCCTAAAACCTCCTTCCCTTGGTAAAGGTTGCACCAAACTGAACTGTTTTGCTGGATGGACCTAGATTTCATTTATTCCTCCAAACTAGATTCATTACTTCAAGCTAATAAATAACTTTCAGGGAACCTTTCATTTGAAACATGGTAAATAATGTCCTGCTACTTCAATCAGCCCCAGTTTTAATGGCCCATATTTTATCTCTTCAAAAACCATTAAAATTAAATACATCAGTGTAGGTTTTGCTAAGCAATCCCCACTGACATTTTAAAGTGAATTTTAATTTGTTTCATCAGTATTTTTTGACAGAAGAGACTTATTTTATGCCTGGTAGATATCCAAGTTTTCAACAATCCTGAGTGTCCTGCTGAACCACAGCTCCAGGAGGAGGCTCACACCCTCCAGGGCACCTGGGAAACATTCTGGGGGATTCCTGGGATGCAGGTTGATAAGCAAGCAGATCCTTGGATTAAGATGGTGGATGAGGAGCCCATGGCTATGAGTGGCCTCAGGGGCTTCTGTTTTCCTTGCAGGCTAGAAGGCACTGATTATGTTCAAATCTGCTTTGTGAACAACCCCTCTAGAAATCAGATCATCTCTTTGCATGTTTAAATAAGACTTTGGAAGACTAACTTTATATTCTGAAATTTTAAAAACGCTCTTAGTTTTACTTTGAGGACCATTGCTCAACACAGATTATAAATAGGTAAGACATAAACACATTTTGTTTTACAAAAATTCTTTCACCCAGGAAAAAGACCCTTGAACGCTGTCAAGGGAGACAGGGATATTAATTTGCCTCCCTCTTTGTGTGGTGAGAAGAGAGTACTCTCACATCAAGGATATGAGGTTGAAATAAGCTGCAAATTATCTGTACATGAAATGAGTATTAAACAAAAAAGTGCTGTGTATAGAGGACAGTAAACACAGCATGTAAATAAGTATTTAATTAGTTCATAAAGCATAATCCAAATTGGTGCACAGCACTCTCTCATTAACATCCAGAATTTAACCTAAGCCTCTTTTAACAATCGTTGAGTAACCGAACAACTGTATCGCTGTTGTGTGCCAAAGAGAAACTTGGCTTGAAAACATTGATGGAACAGAATTAAAACACTGTTTGACTATTCATGCAAATGACATCTAACAAACAAACTGTGAATGAACAGAAAAGCACAAGCACTGTAAAAAGCTGCTTGGTTCTCTTGGGATCCTGGATTTTCTGCAAGACAGCAGGCCAATTCAAAGCTCTGGGCCTTGGTTTCATTAATAAGGATGAGTCCAAGCCCTTTTCACCCAGCATCTTCCTCTGACCTAAACTGTGGTTTGCTAGGAGTGTCTCACTGCACATGAATAATATGCTGAAATAGATGCTTTTCCTTCTTTTCAGCACAGCCTAAATCACACCTATTTGTTGCAGGAATCTGTTAGAGATACAAGATCCAAGCAAACACTGTGCTCTCAGAGGTTCATGAAAATGCACACTCTGAAAGGCCCAACACAATCCCTAGCTCAGATCCCCCACATTTCCACCTCTTATTTCAACAGGAAAGCAGAGTCAAGCTAATGCAGCTCAATGTATAGGGCAGAAGATGACCAACCAGCCTGTGCAATCAGAAAGCTCCAGGCTTGAGAGCAACTCACAACTTTGAAACTTAAGTGTTTGATAGCACAGATAGCCAGACAATGGAGATACATGTTCAGATGTCTGTGCAATAAATACACACAGCTCTGGAAAAGACTGCAAGTACTTTTCCAGCTCTGCATCTTCATGTACTTCAGCAGGACATCCTGGTTCATATCAACAGAAGAAAAGCCAGAGTCAGTCTCCTGTTGTTCTTAGATCAGTAAGTCTAAAATTAAGTTGCTGCATAGAGGAAAAAAGTACACAGAGACCATCCCATAATCACAGCTCCTGTACTGAAGGCAGTGAATGAATTAAATCTTATTAGATGTCCTACAGTGATTCAGCATTTATAGAGTGTGATGAAGAAGTCTGGGTAAATCTCAAAGAATTCAAAGCACAGTGAAATACTGTAAAGACACTTTTATCAAGCTATTGTAGTTCACTAACTATTTTGGGATGTCTTTGGTTTCTTTTTCTGGAATATTTCAAAGGAAAACACACATTTCTATTTAAAGTTTCTGTGTAGAAATCAGGCTAGCACAGATTGGTGCTACATAAGAAAAACAAAGACTTTATTTAGTTTTTTTTCATCTGTCCCTCTCTGCTAATTTTATAATTCTTCTGCCTTGAGCAAGTTTCAAGTCAGCACAGTAAGCACATAGAATACATCAAAAAGCTAAAGGCAAACCAAGCACCAGTGAGGTGCCTCATGCTTTGTAAAAGAATCACTGGAAAGTTTTGATTACTGAGCAAAGCACTGCCTGATCCTAAAAGGGAATTTTGAAAGTTCCTGTGACACAAATAGTAATCAACAGCCTCCAGTTCTGCTAGTCTTGGTGCAGAGCAGGTTACCTGCTGGTAGAGCTGGCAGGATTTTTAGACAAAGTCAGGTGGTTCCCTGGATCTCTAATTAAACCAATGCACCATAGGAGAATAATCTGTGTATTTTGGCAAATCATCAGCAAACCCATTCACGCACTTTGAAGGAGTCCCCAGCCTTGCAGAGTTTGTTAGTGTCTGCTATGCAAAAGGCAGATCATTTCATCAGAACACAACTCCTGAACCATAAAGCATTGGGTTCTTCCTGAGGCAGCTCCATGGATGGCTCCTCACGCCTGGGTGAGTGCCGCTGCCCCGGGCTCCTGAGCACACACCCTGCTGGACATTTCACAGCCTCCACCTCGGGCTACATCAGTGTCAAACAGCTCTGACCCAGCACCAGAGGCCATCAGAGGGCACATCTGACCCTTTGGAGAGGGCACAAACCAAGAGTCATCTGGTTTTGCAGCCACCACAGTTTGTTGATCCATCCAAGCTGATTAGCCCACTCTTTGATCACCCAGCATCCTTACACAACTACTGCTGCAGAAACTACTGATGGCTACGTGCTCCCAGGCAGAGCTGGGACCATGTGTGGATCTCTGCCAGAGCAATCCTGGAGAAGCTGGAGAGCATCAGCTCCTTCCCTGTGGGATGGCAGAGCTCCTGGCAAGCCATTGTTAGAGCCCAGCCCGAGATGCAGTTCATTCATCAGCTCATAATTATCTGCAGCAAAGCCTCAGTGCCTGGTGGGCATCCAGTGATTGTCTATTTCTGTAAGAAATGTCTGGTTTGAATTACAGGATAGGAACCAGAAATGTCATGGTGGATACTGAGCACAAACTTCTGTAATCCGACCCTCCCAAAAGCGTTTCCCTCTCACTTTATTTTTCTGTGGTCCCACTTCAAACACCACTGTGCTCTTCGATTTTCATCACCTTCTTTATGCTTTTGAAGATCCCAAATGAGCATTTCTGACATTCCCAAAGCTTTATCTTAATCCCACAGGAATAACATTACATCAATTCCTTTGGTGGATGTATATGGTCCCATAGAAAGTCATAACAGCAAAGTCAAGGGCTCCTAGTTTCCCTTTCTAGTCCTTACAAGGCATTTGCTCAGAGAGGAATTCTCTTTTTTTCCTGAAATCTTTATTGAGCATCAGAAGGAGAAAAGAAGAATGAAAGCACACAACACACATGAAACTTAAAGGTCAAACTGTGATCCCACATTTGGAAAACATCTATCATTCTGCTCAAAACCACATACACCGGGCAGTTTTAGAAGAGCTTGGCAATGTACATTTTGAACCAGAGATAGGAATCTCACATTTTCTATGCAAATATGAGTCTGAGCCCTGATTTACCTTCCCTGGTGTCAGAGTCAGTAGGTGTTACCAAGTCCAAGTTAGCTGCTTCTGATCAAAATGAAAAACATTCCCCAGCAGATGTGTTGGTAAGGCACCAGGTAGCTTCATGTTACGGGCCTCTATCTCATCTTTGACTGCAACATTGGCTTTAGAAAGGTCATAGACTTTGTTTTCTGACTTCATGACTAATTTATTTTTCTTAGTTCCTCCCGCAGGCTCTTGGAACTTCTCATTCCTGCTCATAAACCACTGCTGTGAGGTTTC